TCTACTGCTTTTTGTCTGTAACTGTATCTGGTACAGGAAAATAATTTCCGTCTGGCTGTAACAGCATCATAAAGAGACAAAGCTTACAAATAATTTTTCACTTAAATAGTGATTGCATTTCAATTATTAGTGATGTGCTACTCATAAAAACAAAAGCACCACTCAAAAAACTCTCAGTGAAAGAATGACAGTAGCCTTATTAGAAGAGTTACTATCAGCATATAAAGAAAGCACTGAAAATACAAAACTTTGAGGAATTGCTTGTTCATAACTGTTCTTTCTCCTCAGACACTGTTCTTTAGCAGTTATTAATGCCCTGGCTAACATAGCTGCTAACATTCAAGGAGAACACCTAGTGGATGAACTGCTGATGAACCTGCTGGAACTATTTGTTCAGCTTGGGCTAGAAGGAAAGAGAGCTAGTGAGAGAGCAAGTGAGAAAGGACCAGCGCTGAAGGTCAGATGTTTACTGGTTTTTAATTATAAAAACCTCACGTGTTTGATAGTGATTTTATATACAAAAATACATTTTTATGTTTCAGTATTTCAAATGTATTTGTACTGATAAGGTTTTCTCACTGATGTGATTTGGTAGCTGTTCCCTGCTTCTTAGGGCAGATAGGTAACACTTCTGTTTGAAACAGGCACATTTTCCTAGTAGTGAAGGGAACAATGTGGTGTTTCTTCTTAACCTATTTTTCCCCCCGCTTCTGTGCATGCTATATTTTAATAGTGCTGAGTTCTTTCTTTTTTCTTTTATGGGAAGGATGAACTGTTGGTAAATCCCTTTGAAATGAATGTTTGCTTTGAAGATCGCATTTAATCAGGGGTGCCAACTGTTCTCTTAAAAGGGAACTAAGACACGTTTAGAATTTGCTTTTCAGGAAGTCTGTGGTGGAAAATCTCTCCCCATGGGTTTCATAGCTTCTTTTAACCACAGATCAGCAAGCTGAAATGAGCGAAGAACATACTATAAACATTGGTGTAAAATGATACTTCTAAGTTAGTTTCCACCCTCCTCCTTTCAGAGATATTTTTCCTGAGTCTAGGACTCAGGGAGACAAACTGCTGCATGGGCTTAAAGCTGCCTGCAAACAGAAAAATATATGATTGATTTAATGTGGATTTGAGCTAGGAGGCAGTGTTTCTTTATTATGAAGATACTGATAGCAGTTTTCACTAGAACACTCTTTACTCAGTGTAGAGAAAAATTTATGAAAGGTATTCTGATGACTGGGTTACTTAATTCTTCCAGAAGAGATCAAGTAGGTAAAAAACTGCACATGATGTGCTTCTGAACAAAAGCAGTGTTTTTCTTTGATAGCTTGCTATGTCCTTGCTTACCAGTATACGATTTAATGGACTTAAATTTGCTCACTAACCATTAGAATGCTTCAGTGGCTTATTTTTTTCTGTGTCAAATCAGAATTTTCCAATCATGCAAGTGGCTTCTAAGAGACTTCGGGTTTTTTTGATATTATTGGTAGTTAACACAGATGTCCCTTGAGAATGCCTAGGGACGGGATTCAGTGCATCTTCATCATCCTTAGTGCTACAGATTATCATAAAGAGACTGATACTCCATTTTTGTAACAAAAATGCTCGTAGAAAAGTGGTTTTTCTGCAGTGTGTTAATGTCCTGTGCTGGGTTCTAGCTATTTCAGCTTGTTTCTGAGCTCTCTGTGCAGGAGTTTGTCATGTGCAGTAGGCTGTCCTGATGCTAGCCAAAAAAAAAGCTATAGTCACATTTTCCTGTTGTTCCTACCCCTTAGAGTGACTCAAGTGCTGTTCTTCTGTTCCCTTCAAAAATATTTAAGGGTCCGTCTTTTGTTTTGCTTTATCTTGGACGATACAGGAAAGATAACTGAAGTGTGTTTTGGTTGGGTTGTATCATTGCTGTTTCATCTGAGGGCTGTTTGGCTTTGTTTCTCTCTCTTGCCTTTCTTTTCTTCTTCTTCCCTGTTTTTAATTGGTTCCTTTTGGTTTACTCCATGCAAAGCTGTACTCTTTTGTTAGCATGCCTGCCTTGCCTCCACCCTGTGGGACCAGCAGTCTCTGTACCTGGTCTCTGTCTTGTAAGGAGAAAGCTGGAGAATTCTATACCTTCCAGATCCAATGTATAGGGGTATGGGAGGTAGGGCAAGACCTCAGAGAGCTCTCTGAGCATGGTTATCTGTGGTGTCATTGTTTGCTTCATCAGAGAAGGTGGGAAACAATGTCCTGTATGCAGTGAATGTTTTCAGTTCTCAAACACTGTATTTAGCCAAGAGCAAAACCCCTTACTGTATAGAGTACAATTAAAAAGTCCTAAGAAGTCAAAGGAAATAATGTATTTCCTTACACTTCTTCTATTTCAATGGAAGAGGCTGCTCCTGCTGCTTAAATAAACTCTTGAAAATTGTGTGCTTTTATAAACTTGTCATTTTTTGCTTCATTTTGGTAGTCAAGTGAGACTTAGTAAACATTTGATGCTTGTCTGTGGCCACCCATTTAGTGTGAGCATTTTTCTTGCAGCTGTTGGATGCCAGAATAGATGTGGTATCCCCACTTCATTCCCTCTCCCCCCCATTTTAGCTAAAGCCATAATACCTAACTTCCAAACAAAGACCCTGTGCTGGGAGAGAAAAAAAAATCCCAATAGTCTATGAGGAGCCACCTGCAAAGCTTTGCTGAAAGACTTCAGGGTTTGCCCTGAGGAAGTCCTGTGGATTTCTGGGATGCTCTCTTGGCTACCTCATGCACATCTGTTTGTGAGATACAGAGTGGTAATTGTAATAGAGTGGCAATGTTATTTGTGTAGACAGTAGGAATGTGCAATGGCTGAAATATGTCTTATAGCAGGTGTTTTAGAAATGCTTTTGTAGATGTTTTGATAATTTTCTTTTCCTTTCCAGGCCTCCAGCAGCGCAGGGAATCTGGGTGTGCTTATTCCTGTTATTGCTGTGGTGAGTATCCAATTGGGTTGTTGCAAATGGAATAATTTTTCTCATATATATCAAATATCAGTGAAAACTCATGGTCAAATAGTTTGATTAACAACTGGTGCAGAAGTAAGCATCCAAGAGAAACGTAGTATTGTAAAATTGTATTTCTTGCTCTGATGGGGGGGAAACAGTTGTTTAATAATGACATATCTCTTAAAATGATTTATCTTTGGTGATTCAGGATTATTGTTGGTAGTCATGAATTCAAGAGCTTCATAAGCTAAATAATTCTTCAGGGGCTATTTGAGTAGTGTTTGGCATGCAATGCAGTAAACAACACATCTATGGCCTAAGGAGAAAGGGGGGGACACAAAAAAAATAGAAACAAAGTTCAAAATAAATCTTTTTGTAGCACAGTGAATTCTCCTGCTTAAAAGGGGAAAAAAAAAGCCCCAAGAATCCCTGAGAAAGTGGGAGGAAGGGAGGAAGTGTCCTGTGTCTTCTGAAACTAGATTTGACTGCTATGCTGAAAGCATTTTAGGAAGCACACAAGGCCACTGCTGCCCATTCCAGACTCATCATTTATTGTGATGTATATCTGGTTTTGGTCTCAAAAGACCTTTTTCTGGGGAAAAGAACTTAAAATTTATTTATTTATTTATTTCAAATTAAGTACAACTACTAATTCAGCTAGGAAACTTATTATGTCCAAGCTGGTTTTCAGGTCAATAGGACTAGTTGCCTAACTGCTATAGCTCTTAGAAGAAACATGTCTAAAAGATCCATAGATGAACTTAAACTTACTGGAGGACAAAAAGCATCATGTCACTTTCTGCCCTCCTGAAGTTGAATTCTTCTGTGCAACCTTTCCTGCACAGCTAGTGGGACAGAAGGGGAAATGTATTACATGCTTGTAGTAGGCACACCTACTTGTAACTTGCTCATACTGCACACCATTAACAAGCAGAAAAAATAATTTGTTTAGTACTCTGCCCTCACAAGCATCTTTACTGACGCTCTTCAAAGAGAAGAGCCTAAAATTAGCACTAGTTAAACATCAAAGAACTGTTCCTTTCCTTCCCCTCTCTCTCTCTCTTTCACCAGTTTCTAACCTAAGCTCTTCCTGAATTCACCAGTAATCACAAGGGCCAGATCTTGGCTTTACAGAAATGTGTTTATAAATGTCTCAGATCACCATTATTCAATAGCTGCTCAGTTTTCATGTGAACTAACTAGTCCTTTGTTGAGAGATGTTCCAGGGGTAGTATTCCTCAGCTGTCAGTAAAGCTAGCACTGATGTAAGTGAAAGCAGGATCATTCCTTGCATATAGAGAAAAGATTAGTGCTTGTTAGAGACTTACTCTAAAAGTTATGGAAGCACTTCCTGTTTGAAATTTTTATTGATAGTGTATTTGTTCTGAATAGCTAGTGATAACTGCTTTTTTCTTAACCAATGTGACCTTTAAATGGAATCAGATAGTGCCAGAATCTGAAGCAAGAGTTAATGGTTACATTATGGTGGTTGAAGCAAATATTTGACTTTCTTGCACAATGTATGAAGATCATGAGTTTTGAGCAGTAGCTGATATGCTTTTCTGCTTGACCTCTTTCCCCTGAAAAATTCCTGCTACTTAGGTCTCAAACTCCCTGTATTTCAGATGCTGCAGCTCATTTAATTCTTGATAAACTAATTAACCATTTAATCTTATGAATATGCTTTTCTTTTTGAACAAACCGATAAAATGTGTATATGGATGCTAACGATTTCTGTTGTGAACCTTCACTACTCAAAGTTGTACCCCAGATGGTGGGCTTACACTGCCCATTCTATTACTGCACAATGTGAGGCAGCAATAGAGACAAACATCTGAGCTTTCTATTCATCATCTTTCATCTAATACTTGATATTTCACTGGCTGTCACATTAAAAAGCTTTGTGTATAAGGCAAAGTTAGATGATGTAGAATACCCAGGAGAGGTTTTGGTTTCTGAGACTGGTCAGGTATTCAAGATTTCCTTATTCCTGTTTATTACAAAGAGACATCCTAGCACAAATTTAGAGCTAAACCTCAAGAATCCAGATAGTCTAAATATTTTATTGATTACATTTTATACACTGAAGTAGAACACAAATGTAAGTTATTTTGTGGTATTTTTTTTAGTACACTTGTATCAATACATGGCACTAACCATTTTATATTGCAGTGAAATTATCTACTGCTATGAGTCCACTCATGTTAAAACTACTTGTAGATAATATGTTTTCTTTTGATACCAGTGGCTTTTGTATTAGCTAACATGGCAATAAAAATTCCTTTATGATACTGGCATATTAGCATGTAATTATACAGCACAAGTGTAACAGTGTGTTGGAGGTCGTCTCTGCTTTCAGGATTGGGCTGGGTTGACAACTCTGCCCATGAACAGAAGGCAGCTGGTACGATGTTCATAGATCAGAAACAAAAAGGGGCGGTCAACAATGAAGCGAATCTGAGTAGAGAGAGGCATAAATCCAACGTTGGTTACTGCTCCAGCCTCTGTGCCTTCCTCATTCACAGTTATTGTGCCTTGATGATTGAACTATTTAAGCAAACAAAAAAAATAAAAGGGGGAAAATAAACAAAAAAGAAATTGAAGATCTCCTAAGTATATTCTGATGATGTGCTTACAGCCTTCCCCCCACCCCCCAGCTTCATGTCACGCATGTGACTCCCTTGTGACACTCTTGCTGGTAACTCTTACGTGGCAGCAATCCTTTGGTTTTGGTCTGTGAACAAGCATATTCCTGACTGACCATAACATTTTTTATGCCTTTGACATCTGATTAAACATGTACCTCATTATATGAGTAGACAAGTGCATGTACAGAGAAACCCACATCCCCCCTCTGTCTTCCAGGAAAGATGAGGAAAAATATTATTTTAGCTTACTGTGAATTATTTTTACTGTTGTCATGTGTTCAGGTGATATAGTTAAATCAGAAAAGAAATGAAAACAGGAGAGGAGTAAATACCCGGTCAATGGTGACTTTCTCATCCGATATACCAGAGTAGTCGCCCTTTTCATTGAACAGGTCTTCTATTCCCATGGATCTCAGATAACCAATCAAGTTATAACTCTTTTCCAGCTTAAATTTAGGCAGAACCACTTCTCTTGTTCTAGTAAAAATAAAACCAAAAATGAAAAATCATTGAGGAGATAGAATTTGCATGACTCCTTTGCTTTAGGTATCTGTTGTGGTTTGGGTTGTTGCTGTCTTCAGCAAGCAGGACACAAATATACAGGACTGTTTAATGTACTTTTACTTTCAAATCTTGGAAATCATTACTTTTAAGCTGTACTTTTTAAAAATAATTCCCCTCCCAAGATGGTTGGTTTGTCAATTTGGTATTTCACTTGCAGTGATTTACATTATTTATGTGTATAAATACACAGCTTTGAGCAGTTCCGTGCATGGTTGGATATGCTTCTAATATATGTTCAACTGTCAGATTTTCTGTAGTACTAAATTGGTGATTTGTCACTTTTTGTATACAATAGAAATAGGTTGACTTCCTGAATAGCCCATCAAATCTGCCCTTTTAATCATTTTATCAAGTCTGAAGACAGATACCACCCAGTCTGTCATCTTGCACAAGAGAGGCTGTATAATTTTTTCTCTCCCGTAATTGTGATGTCTGGGGTTGATGACTGAACATGTGCTTTTACTCAACAGATGTGTTGAAATGCACAGTGCTGAAATGAGCATAGGCTGCTTTCCATACAATAGAGATTATTCTGCACAAATAACTTGTTATTATCATACTCCTGGTTTTCCTTGTCATTGTAAACGTTAGTAAGAATTTTTATTTTAAATCTACAACATTAAATTCTTAATAGAAAGAATTCTGGAACTCTCTTAGAATTTTCCATTTCAATCATTGTCAATTTCTTGACAGCATTTAAAATCTGAGGGATCACTGGTCCTCATTTTTAATTCAGTAAGTCCATCTTTTGGGGGGTTTTGTTTAGGTTTAGTGTTTTTTGATCAAACTATCATGTTATCTTCTGTGCTCTTTACTTACCCATGTCAATCTCATCAAGAAAATGCACTAAGACTTTAACAAGATGTACTTTTCAGCAGATACCTGTTTGTCATGCTCTTCTGCCATTTTTCCACCACTTGAGGTGTTATCTGCTTTTCGAGGGCTTTCATGCCTGAAAGTTTGTGTGGAAGCACAATCAGCATGCTGATGTTCCCCACGAACGGGAGCTGGATCACACCACAGTCTAGCTCAGGGTCTGCAGCAGCTAGGAAGTTCCCTTTAGTCTGCATCATAGGAACCTTTATTGTTTGCTTCTCATTCAGTCGGAAGCTTCTCTTCATAGTCATTTCCACTGGAAACTTGTTCTCCCAGGTTCCTGTTAATACAGTGCAGAAGGCAGATAAAAATACCCAAGATCATTGTTTAATAAATTATTCCTAGAATAAGAGTTTACATTAAGCTTTAATTCATGTGAATTGGGAATTACTGTAGGAGATTGTTGATTTCAGTTAAGTCTGAATAAGAAGACAAGTTTTAAAATGATTTTAAAATTCCTGTTTTTTAAACTTAACATTTGTCTGATTTGAGTGCTCTGAATTAAAAAAGCAAAAATTACTCAAACTGGAGATGTGAAAGAGGTTGGTGTGTACTATTTTTTTTTCTACCAGGAACCTAGACGTTACAAAGGTTAAACAGATGAAAAATACTTGACAGCGTTTGCACCTAGTGGAGTAACTGACACAGCTGTATTTTCTGAGAGACCTGGTACTTGAAACCCATACTAAAGCATGTTATTGGTACCTCAAGCTAAGTGCTCCTGGTTTAGTTTTGCATAAAGCTTTAAAAGAGATGTTGAAGGCATTACCTTGACTTAGTCCATTCAAGCCAATTAACTTTCTGTCTTAACACATCCTGAAGAGTTTCTTAATGGCCTACTTCAATGTGATTTCAACACATCTATAGGACCCTTTCATCTGACAGGTTTATGCCCAGAAAATGCAATTCAGTGTATTTTGTGGACCAGAAAGTGCATCAAGGTTTGAATCTTTCCATGTGAAGATTCTTTGGATACCCCAAATATTTATTGACTGTGTAGAAGAAGGTGCTTTTTTAAAGCAGTATTCTTATTGATCTCTTTTGAGAACCGTAGCTCTGGAAAGAACATTATTTCTTACTTCATGGGCAGACAAAGCTAGAATTTTATAGTGGAAATAAGATTACTGGTATTTCCTGTTAAAACTCTGGATTTTAGGTCACCATTGGCAGGCGAATACATGGGCAGTGTGGCTGCAACTGTGTGAAGAGACTACAAATTTAGCCTTGATCGGTAACCTTGTTGTTAAACAGTCGCAAGTGATTTTGAGATCCTTAATCTGACTTTGCCAAATTGTAGTAACAAAAAAAGCCTTTAGTCCAATTTTAATTCTAATAGTTTCTTCATGTCGGGCTGATGGGGAGCAGTTTGAGAAATTATTAGACTGTGATTAATATTCTGAAGGGAATGGGGTATAAAATGGATTATGCTACTCCCAAACAAATCTCACTTCTCAGGAAAATCCAACATCTCATCTTGCTGTTCTTCAGGGGACAGAGTTCACAGTCGCAGGACTCTATCTAGGAAATTACATGAATCTGCTGTGGGCCAGGGGAGCTTCAGCAGCACTGTCATCACCTGAGGAACAGGAGATATTTGTCAGCTCTTCCTAGTAAAAGAGAGGAGCTGGGGAACTTTTTTCTTGGATTCAGCTTTCCAAGTGTGTTTGTCTCGTGGTAAAACACTGTTCTGCAAGGGGAGGCATGTGGTCTTCTGGGGTCATCTGAAACAACATGGCACTCTGACTTTTCTGACTTCCTGTTTTGAATCTTCCACCAACATGTCTTTTGGATCCACCTGCAGTGGCAGGTGTTGTCTCCACTGATTGAATTCTCTTTTGTGTTCATGACTAGAATCTCAGAAAAGTAATTTTGGACCTGTCAAATGCCAGTTGTCGAAAGCTGCTGTGATCTATCTTGGCTAAAATACCTGTCTCCTGCTTGATAGGGAACTCATAAATGATTGTTCAGATCTCTGCAGCATGGAGGGTAGATCTCAGTTGGAGACAGATTGACACCTGGACGAGATAAAACTTTCCACTTACCAACATGAATAGTTTCCAATAGTTTCTTGATGGTATTTAATATAAGATGAGCTTGAGGCTTGTGTTTGGCAGGTATCCCGTTACTCAGTTACAGTTATTCAGCACAAATAGCAGTTGTACTGAGCATCTCTGTGTATCTGAGAATACTTACAGGTTTCTTAGCCCTGAGAGCTTAACAAAGCTTGTCTGCAGTAGTGCAGACAATGTAAATATTGTAGATGGAAAGATGTGGGAATAAGCTAGCGTGTCTTGGAGGACTAGTGGGGAAACTGGGAAACCCAGGAGCAGAACTTGCTTTTAAAAAGTTTGGTTTTACTCAAAATAGAATTACCAAGAGGCTGTCACTTTAAAACAAAAGAATAGGAGACAGAAATAAAGAATTGATCTTTTTGGTTTTGAGGGTTAGAAATAACAGCTTTCAGCAAACCACCAAGGCAGTTTGGACTACCAGGACTCCATGGGCAGAAGGAAAAGCCAAAAGTCTTTTTGATCTCCATGACTCGAGTTCCAGTACTAAAACGATTTAATTTTTGGTGGAGTTTTTGTTGTTTTGAGATAGCACAAGTATTTAATAATTTCAGACTAAAACAAAAAGGTATTTTAAATTTTATGAAATTATGAAAAAATTAATTTGTGTTTCACTTTGCATAATTCTTAGGATGGTCTAATGGACAGTACAGCCATGTATTTAATATGATATCATCAGAGGTGTACTTAAGGATACAGATAAGTCCCTTTTGGATGGTACTTCAAAATAGGAGAATATTTGGATCTTATGCTAATAACTGCTTCAGATCTTTTAAAGAGACAAGTGGCATTATTCAAGGAAGTAACACCTTACAAGTGAGAGGGAAATCGTACGTTTCATTAGCGTAGAGGAATGGTGTTCCTATAATGAAACGCTGCGAATGTGTAAGCTCTTGAGCATTTGTTTCATGGAAGCAGGACGTAATTGAGAAAAAGAAACTCCTTTATAAGCTGTGGAAAGGAGTATGTTGTATTCCCAAACATTGTTATCCTTTTGTGCTAATCTGTCTTTCCTTACTGGTATTTTAAGTCACTTTCATCTGATTATCATCTTAAACAGTCAGTAATGGATTTCTTCTTCTCCCTCAGTTGCTCTTGCATTGGTACCTCCCACCCCTGGCTCATTTAATACCGTTTAAAAAGTTTATTGAAAAATTAACAAACTTTCTGCCTGAGGCAGAAAATCAATGTTGAAAATTTCAATACTGATCCTCAGTTTAAATGTAAAGAATTAGAAAATAAGGGTTTATAATAAGAATGTCTTACAGTCTTTACTTCAAGCTGTTCAGTGATACATGAAGGAGCCCGAATCAGCAGACGGTTTATGCTGAATTATTCTAAGTAGTGAATGCATTTGGTTTTAGCTGTAGAAGATGACTGTTCTGGTTATACTTCTCAGTCCCCTGTATAGCCTTGTTGACAAGGATCATGATCTAATGATATGAAAACATACATACTTGAAGCTGAAATTCTTTATGGTCATTCCTGTGAATCTTGAATATTTCGGAAATGTTAAGTGTTTTAACTGAAATCAACCTGTACCATTTCAATGAAGCCAATAACTTGAAGCAGGACTGAATGGGACTAATAACTTGCACATGAATTAATACATCACTGCCTGAGACTCCTACAAAGCTTATGCTTTCTGATGCTATTCTGCATTCATATGTTGTTTTTTAGTCTCACTTAGAGACTATAAGATTTCGGATGTTATAAGCATTTGCTGTATTCGTACAATACCCACTAACTTCAGGGCGTGACTGGAATATGTTTGCTACACAAAAATGTAAAAATGGGCTAATAATAGGGATTCTTCTTAATGAGGGAATCAGTAGGCTTTTTTGAAGCGTAGGCTAGATTTAAGTTCAGATAGGGATTTCCACTGAAGTATACAGTGAATTGCAAACTGAGAAAATCCATTGCTACGATTGAAATAGCAGATTCTTACCTTTAAAGTAGAGACAGTTAAGAATCATCATCAGTGTTGTAGGGTTTACATTCACAAGAGCTTCTTTTATTAATCCTTTGGTCAGCTTCAAGATGCGTTCATTGGTTTTAGTTATGAAGCTGGGATCTGAAAAATCAGCTGGTTGAGCATCAGCAAAGTAGTATGTTTTTGTGTTGTTTCTGAAATCATTCAGAATAGAAAAGTCCTTCTGAATGTAAAGATCATTGACAGACCTCAGTGTGTAACCAAAATTGCGCCTGAAGAGCCGATGAGTGAGCTTGCGGAAGAGGTTATGAACAGTCATGAGCTCATATTTGGTGCTGGCATTAATGAAGTCTTGAAAGCCAAGAACAGATAATACTTCATGCTGAGTTTTACCCTTCAGACCCAGAGAAATCATAGCCATTGCAGTGGAAATACCAACAGGAGCCATGAGAATATTATCTGAAGAGTTGGTCTTTTCTGCCACACTGCGGTAAAGGTTGAAGCCAAAGTTTGCATTGAGGATATTGAGGCGCTGGATTCTGGTTTTGCCTTGGAATAGTTCAAGTATATTTCCTTGCTGAACTTCAGAAACTATGTATGGGGCAGCATCAATAATGTCACTGTAGTCATCTTCACCCAGTATCTTGTCAAGATCTAGATAGTCTTCTTCCTCCTCCTCTTCAGGAATCAAGTCATTAGTGATAGTGTTTTCTCTGTGGAACTCCAGCGGTAAATTTGGCATATCATAGGTGCCATTTTCATGTGGCTGTGTATCTTTAAGGCTTTCAAAATGCTCAGTGAAGTCCTTGACTCCACCAAGTGTGGAGGTTATGACAAGAGCAAGGGCAAGCAAATGAAACAGAAACTTCATTCTGACAGATTAAAACCTGGAAGACAACATAACACAGTTGAGAGAGCAGAGGGTAACTGAATTTTAATTACCTATTCCCTAATTTTAGGTCACTGCTGAGCTCTTGTCACAGCAGCAGGTTTATAGTTACCTTATTCGACAGCATTTTTTTTTTTTTTTAGAGGAACAGAGCTAAATTAGGTGGATAAATCTGTTTTACTTACAGATCAGTAAGTAAAAGCAGTTTTGCTTACATAATGCCTCTGGCCTGCCAAAGAATTGGTTGACCTCCTCCCATACGACTAGTTGTTATTGGCATGTTTCAGCAGTAACAAATTCAGTACCTAAAATATGTGGGACTATTTATAAACCCGTAACACTTGAAATATTTACTAAGTCTGTTACTATTGTACGCTAAGAATATGATATTAAGTTTGAAGATTCCAGCTTGATAGGAGGAAGGACTAGGCATCCAGTACAGGAGCATACCAGAAGGCTGAGATTCACTGAAGAATTAGAAAAACAGGCATCCTGTAGCTACAACAAAAATGGGAGGTTTATGGAAGTAGTTTTGAAGAGTAAGGCTGAAATTTGCTAGAATAAGGAAGATTTAGGGAAGTAACACCAAACCTGGAGAAAGATGTGTATTTGCACTAAACACCGTTAGTGGGAGTGCACTGTGGGAAGTGTTAGGCATAAACATGTATCCTGGCCTACTCATGGTCTAACTTGGATGTGTAAACTCGGTGTCTGTGCACGCTTTCTGCAGCTGTGTACACTCACCTGCTGCTTTTATGAAAAATTGACTTGATTCTGATTCTTTTTAAGTTACATTTTTTATCAGTTTGGTTTTATGTAGCACGGCACAGCATGTAGTGCTCTCAGTTTTCTTCATTCTGTGAAGTCTCTGTAAGTTCCTAATCAGAGCTTTGTTTCTCTAGCTTTGGTGTTATCCCAATGGCAGGTTTCTAACCTCACCTGAAAATATATTTAAGTAGAACCTACATTTTTTTAAATGAAAAGTTAATATCTTTTTTTTTAAAAAAAATCTACTGAGTATTAGTCCATTGCATTTTAAAAAATATTTTAAAAATCAAGAATTATCTTAAATATGTGTAGTTTGAAGGAGAATGAATCAGTCTTACTAAGCTGTAAAACACTGTTCCAAGAAGTGGGTCTGAGAGACTTTTCACCATAATATTGTGTTGCAGTAATTAAAGCTATCTTAAAAAGATATGAAAAAGTGTAATTCCTTTCTGTGACAGTCAAATAAAGACCAAATTGTTAGTATGCAATAACTCTGTATCAGCTGTAACTGAAATGGCTGTCTGAATGCCAGGGTCTTGGCTTTTGCTCAGACTTCTTTAGAAAATAAGACTTCATATTCTGTTGATAGTACTTTTTTGAATAAAAAGGCAATTATTTACAACATAAGCTAGAGCAAAATGCTGAATAGAAATAAAACAAAAATCTTACAAGGTATTGATTAAAATGCTTTTTACATTAGCAAATAGTCCAAAGAGCTGTTCTACAGACATAAAATAAATAGGTATACATACCTGTACCTCAGTGAGTAAACCCAGTGCTTGAAAGAAAACATTTTCAGACATGTTGTAGCAGGACTGAAGTAACTGAGCTAACAGTTTAATATTTAAAATTCTCCCCCCAGACTCATTTGCCTGAAATCCTAAAACAGTTTAAGGGGATTATCCCACATTAAAAATTCTACATTGTTTTGCAGCACTAAGGATCCATAGAAGGTGCTCTTTAAATGGTTTTACACTGTGACTGAATGACTCCAGTCAGTCTTTTTCTTACTGTTTCTTCATAAATTCATGACTTTTTTTTCCCCGCCCCCAGAAGTCAGGCCCTTAGGGCTGAGATACTCGGTCCAGTAACCACTGGTAAATGTTTTCTGTTTTGGCATGGAAGAACTTGCTGTCTGTAGTTCCCAACTTTACGTTCTCGCCTTCACCCAAGTTCAGTTACTGCTTAGCTGCACTAAGACAGTCAGAACTTTCTCCCACTCTGCAATATATATGCCTTTGGTCAGACCAACCTAAAATAACAGAAGATGGAAATGAAGCTTACCTTTAAGCCACTGTAAGGGAAGGATGTGTTGAATAGCTGAAGTAAGAGGAATGGCAGGGTTTAAAGCTGAACTTTGACGCGAGTTTTTTGTGTATCTCCCAAAGTAAACATTCTCTAAACCAAACACAGCTAAACTTACTTCGTCAGCCAAAATCCCTCCCTTGCCTAGTGATCTCTGCTGAATTGTATGTTGTTTGTTGAACTACTTTTATGGCTTTGCAGGTACTTGTTCACTTCTGAGGAGGATCTTTGAGCAAAAATTTTCGTGAATGTAAAGTTTCCAAGTCAAGCGTGCATGTAAACTTGACTGTTACTGACGAGTAAAAGCCACGTTGCTGCTATTTTGTGCTGAAATGGGGGGGAAATCTTAATGCAAAAATGGTCGAGGCCTCTGCTTGTGATAGTCAGGCTTCTTCAGTGTTACATTGGTGCAGACATTTGTCTTGCACAAGCAACATTTTAACATGGTGCCATTCACCCTCTTAAACTCAGACTAGTTTTAAAGGGATTACAGGGATTTTTTCATGTTTTTCTTTTTCAAATGAACAATCTGCCTCATGATTTATAAATATGTCCAAATTTGGCTTTATATAAGGTTTCATTGAAATACTGCTGGCTGAAATACTGCTGGCTTTCATACCCCAAGGGAATTAGCGTACCTTTAGAGAAAACTTTTTAAGCTAGATTAGAATCTAACATTTTCTCAATAAACTTTACAGTAACAATATGCAGTCACATTGAATAAAGCTTTACAGTTCAGTGAGCTATTCTTTTCACTTTTTAAACACTGCTTGGACTTCTGACACTTTTTAGGATAACACAGTATGATGTTTGTTACATAAATTTATCTAAAATTGCATATCTTGTTGGCTGGGAGGGAGAACTGTGCTCCTGCAGTGGTAGCAGCTGTTTGTGCAAAAAGCATCAGAGAATTTTAGGGAAAGTGTTGAAAATAATGCTCTTTTACTTGCTTGTTTAGATAGTAAATTCTCCAGAACTGATGTCATTGTGTGCGTGGGTGCAGACAATAAAAGATCCCCAATTGGTGCCTCAATGTATTTCCACAAAGCCAATAAACAATAGCAACCAGAAGTATGTTTGACTAATATTTATTTAGGTTTGAGTTCCTTTGCACTTAAGCAGAGCTGCATGACATTGTCTCCAGCACAGTTTAAAAGACCATCTGGTCTCTTCATCTCTGCAGTTGAGAGTACACTAACATTATGTATTATCTTCAGAAGTTACTGTGTCAGCATGGTATAATTCCTGTGCAAAAAAAAGGAAATTCTTACTTCAGGCATCTCAAAAGTTAGTTTTCAGATAATTCTAACAAGATCTAACTTTCTTCAGTATAACAATAGCATTATAATACTAGTTTTCATAGGTGACAAAGAATATTATCTTTGTAAATCATAGCAAAGAAGGTACATTAATTGATTCCTTAGACTGACATTAAATTAATATAGCTTGCACTGTTTTCTGGTGTTAATTTTTATTTCTTTGGTAGCTCACCAGACGCTTGCCACCCATCAAGGAGGCCAAGCCCAGGCTGCAGAAGCTCTTCCGTGACTTCTGGTTGTACTCGGTGCTGATGGGATTTGCTGTGGAAGGATCAGGTAGTGTAAATTCTAAGAGAACAGTGCTGCTGCTCAAACTGACAAGTGTGCATGTAACTATGCAAACCAGTCACAGTAGGCTGAAGAAAAACTACAGGCATAAAGACACTAAAAAATTAGCAGTCTGCATGAGAGTTCTCTGGTTGGATTTCGTTACAGCTTTGCTGGTTTGCTATGAGATTCAGCACAGTACATCTTGTGCTTAGGTTTTGTCCTAGGTTAATAGCCGTAGTTACGTATGGGTTTTGAAATGTGACATCGGACGCATGGGGTGGTACAATGGTAATCAAGTAGAAACTTCTTATCCAGTGAGAAACTTGACTTGGAAATGTAAACATATTTATTATCTTTGCAACATGGATTACTTGTGTTGAGTATTTGTGCTTAAGTGCATGAAAAATTGGCCCTAGGAAGTAATGCAAAGCTTGATAGCGCTGGTTAACTTTGTGAGTCTTAATATTATTTTTCTCCCCCACCCCACCTTCCTTGTTATACTTGTGCTTCAGGTCTTTGGCCAGAAGAATGGTATGAGGGTGTATGTGAAATTGCCACCAAATCTCCATTACTCACATTTCCCAGCAAAGAACCACTTCGATCTGTTCTTCAGTACAATTCTGCCATGAAGAATGACACTGTGACTTCTGTAAATTTCTTCTATTATCTCCTTCCATAGTGCCTGTCAATGTTAAATGATACGGTAACCACAATACATTGAAATAGCACAATACCCCTTCAACCTGCCTCCTATTAGTGGAAAACAGCTTTGTTTACTCTTATGACAGCAGTGTACGTAACTGGCTTGGATTTAGTTTTACTGAGTGTTAATAAACTGTTCAGAGTGGTAGCTACATTGTTTTGATTAGGTGTAGAAACCAAGTCTTTGGAGGTGGAAGCCTTTTAACAATTTTGCATCAATTTTGTATCAGATAGACAAAACTTGCACTGTTTAAAAAAAATCAGCAAACATTGGAAGGAAACAACACATATGGTCTTCCAAAGAAATACTAAGTGAACTTTTTTCCTTTTTATGCTCTGGCTTGCTAAGGGTATATTTTTCTCTCCCTACTGTTTATATGATAGATCTTGCCAGAGGATTATTTGTGGTAGCAGTAAAGTGGATAGAAGAGTTGTGTCTTATGAAATGTCTTTGTCTGGCTCCCAAATAATACAGAAACCTGCCTTGTGCCTGGATACTTAGTTCTGTGACATCAAAGAATAACACAACAGAGTCAGGGAGTTTCAGAAACTGGACAGTATTGATGTTGATCAAACTTACATTCATTTAGTGTAGGAATTGTATTTGTTCGTTGATACAGCTGCATGAAAACTAGC